GGTTGGAATGTACCCGTTTCCCGTAAACGACGATCAATGGTCAGACATAATCGTCTATCGGGTGTATTTCGATTGGGATATTTTACTGCATAAATTGCGGCTGCTGCACTATTTCCTTGACATTTACCTACGATATTCCCGATAGTTTATTGAAATCATAATTTAATCTGATCCAACTTACCCAAAGTTAAATGCGTATCTGCTATTTCCTGAAATGTGTAGGTCATTGTAATATCAAAAATTTTAATATTAATCTTATTCACACAATGAATGACAGCTTCAAATTATTGACTGAACTGCACTGTTGGGTCTGAGAAACCCAGAGAGTCATTCATTGCAATGTGACATGCGCATGAGTGGTTTATGTGTGTCGTCACATTATGTAAATTCAGTCTGTCGTAAGCCGAGTTAGAATACGGGCCATCCGCTGCATTTTAGTGAAACAATGAGGTACGATATTTCCAGAAGTACAAGCATGGGTACCACGGACCCAAGGGTGATGTTTACGGTAATAATTTTGTTTCAACATATTTTTATTTATTTTAGTATAATGGCGTTAACTAGTGGAGAAAATAGTCGAGTAAAGGTATCAATTAGCAGAGAAAATCGTCGTCCTTTAACTCAGTTGAATTACAGAGAGAGGCAGACAATTTATGGAAGAATGAGAGTGAAAACGACATCGTAGACGATATGTTTGGAGGGGAGGAGTCTGATGAAGATTACATTGAAGAGCAACTGTCAGACAGCAACATTGAATAAAGCGACCATGAAGACGAAATAGTGGATGAACCAGTTAAAAATATTCCTAGTTTACTGGGGGAAAATGGTCATCGGTGGAGCACACAAGCACCAGCAAGACAGGGTCGTACAAGACGAGAAAACATTGAAATACATTTACCTGGCCCCAAAGGAGAAGCGAGCACAGTTCAATCTCCTGAACAATCTTGGAATTTGTTGTTAAACGAACAAATGATAGATGTTGTTGTTTTGCACTCAAATGGAGAAGTCATTCGTAAATGCAATGATATTAGACTGAAATTCTGGGAATTGAAGTCCTCCCCACCACAACATGATGTTCATTTAACAAAAAAAGTTAGATGCTGCTTTTATGCAAAAGGAAAATATAGAAAAACCAGTTTTGCGTCATCTGAGTGTCGTAGACCATATTGCATGGAACATAGAGCCCAGCTGTTGTGTGAATGCGAACATCAAGATCCAAGAAACTGAAGACCTGGCTAAGAATAACTAAGACTTATATTGCCAAAAGAGTTTATTTTTTTGTTACAAGTATAGTTATACAGGTGTATTTTGTAGATGATAATTTCAATTTAATGTTTATTCGTTTTAATAACAATGTTTTATGTTTGAATATTATTTTATGTTATTTTTGAATTTCAACAAATATATCTCTTTGTGAAATACCACACCATGGTTAAATTTTTTTTCTACACATTCTACTAAGATTACATATTCTCCCAAATCCATCAAATATTCACATTTTCTGTTTTTTTTTTGCTAAAAAACAGCTTTGGGTTTCTGAGACCCGAATTTGAAGTTCATGCCTTAAAAAATAAGTGTGATGTACCAGGGTTAATATTTGTAATTATTGTATCCGTAGAAACTAATATTGTAATTTTATGGCCAGAAAAAAAAACTAGTTTTTGGAAAAAGTGATGAAGCAAAAAAGTTTTAAAAATAATGTGTTAAACTAATGATGCCACAAAATTCATTTAATTTGAACGTACTCAAAAGTTTGGGGGGATTTAGAGTCGCACACCCCCTTAGAATTTTTCTGTGCGCTTAGATTTTGTTGTTTGTTTTGTATGAAATATGCTTTCAGAACAAGAAAGTAACGTGTCCACTTTTATTACAAAATATCAAGTAGTTTAGGAGATAATGCAAAAAAACAATTTTTATTTTGTAACTTCAAAGGGCTGTAACTTTTTTTGTGTACACTTTTGTACTAAGATAAGTTGGATTCAATCAATTTATTTTTGTCCCCGGAATGCGTGATTTAATTTATGACATACCTTTTTAAAAACACCCTGTATAATTTGAAGTAACTTTTAGGACATTCAAAAATTGGGCGAAACACGTTTAAACCCCCAAAAACCAAGTTTTTCACGTTTTTAAGGGTTTTTGCGTGGTCAATCGTATTTTTAAAATCAATACAATCGATTTTTTTATGTTTTACGTTTTATGTGATTAAAAACTAAGACTCAGCTCAATTTTAGCCCGCTACCCCCATGCCTTATCCGCAAAAACGTCATTTTGTCGTTTGTATTATTTTGTTTTCGATGGGATTGTAATTAATTTACAAATTTCAAAAAATTAACTTGCATAGATGAGTCTTTTACAAGACTTTTCTATTCTGTATAGACCCGGATTTTGAGTTTACATAACCTAGAAGTTTTTTTTATTTTTCGAAAAAAGCGTATAGCTTCTTTTGCGATAGCTGTAGGTCTATATTTTTATGTTGTGAATTTTATCATAAAATATGTTTGTGATTTTTTCCAGATTTTTCCGTAAGTGAGGTCCAAAAACCCGAAAAACTATTTTTATGGGTTTGGGGATTTTCCCCATTTTATAGACTTCAAAATAGGCCAAATCAAGGTTTTTTTATAAGTTATATATAATTTGAATTAACTGAGTTCTTTAGGACATTCAAAAATCAGACAAAGCACCTACCCTCCAAAAAGCATGTTTTTTGGAGGTTTTTGCAATTTTGCAGATTTTGCAATTATTAAAACGAGCAACAATGCAACTATTAATGAGTCTCACAATTCATATTCAAAGAATACATGAAAAAGAACATTTTCAGGTCTCTAGGAAGCAAATACAACCATGATTTATGCGAAAAAACAGGTTTTCAAGGGTTATTTTAGGCTTTTTACCTGCGGTAAATGACATTTTTGGGGGTGTCGAGCTAAAATTACATGTCTTATTTTTCAATCACATAAAACTTTTAAAAAAATTAAAAAGTTGTTTCAGCTTGTATCGATTTTAAAATAATGATTTACCAGAAAAAAGTCGGAAAATCCTTTAAAACCCCTAAAAACAGTTTTTTGAGGTTTAAAGGTGTTTGGACCAATTTTTGGATCTCCTAAACACTCCAGATACTTTAAATTATATATAACCTATTAAAAAACCTTGATTTAAGTCTATTTTGAAATCTATAAAATGGGAATAATCCCCAAAAACACTAAAAACCAGGTTTCCGGGTTTTTGAAGTTAGTCCACCTAACAAAAAAATCTGAACGAATCAGAAATATATTCTTCGATTAAATACACAAAGTAGAAAAAAAAACTGGGTCTGCAACCATCTCAAAAAAAATTATAAGCTTTTTCGAAAAAAAAAAGCATTTTCAGGTTATGTACATTCTAATTACGGGTTATTAAAAATAGAAAACTTTTGTAAAAGCCTCGACTATGCATGTCAATTTGATTTAATTTCTTAAATTGATTGCTAAAAAAAATACCGAAAAAATTCATAAAAACGAAAAAATGACGTTTTTGGTGACGGGAGAGGGGGTGGCGGGCTAAAATTGCACTGAGTCTTACTTTTTAATCACGTAGAACGTAAACACTGAAAAATGAATTCTAGAAATGAGGGCATTTTGTCTATCTTAACGGGGGTACCCTTTTTGCTTTTGATTTTCTGGCATGTTGCTTGTATGTTGAAGGAAACAATATATGCTGAAGAAAATTTTGATTTTCCGTTCCTTTGACGTTCCTTTACACGCTGTGCTTTCTACTAAATAATTTATTATATTCTTAAAACTATGATAATACTACAAATATTTTTATTACAATCCCACTTGTCAGAGTTTTTTGTGAATACGTTATCGGAGTACTTACTATTTAACTGGGAATAAGCCACAATTAAAGATAAAAATACGTTTATTGACGTTTCAATTTCCACTTCGGAAATCGTTATCAACCATCCGTTCCAAAATTAGACATAATAAGCTTAGTGGAGAAAATATCTCAATGCTTACCAACCCACGAAAAGGAAGAATACAGAGTGTTATGTAAACTTGAATTGGAAAAATCTACTAAAATTGAACAAAACATAAGCAAAGAGGAACTAAAGGCTATAAGAACTTTAAAAAATGACGACTCCATAATCATCCTACCAGCAGACAAGGGGAATGCAACTGTGATAATGGATAAAATTCAATACGAAAACAAAATTAAAAATTTGTATTTTGAGAACGATTTCTGAAGTGGAAATTGAAACGTCAATAAACGTATTTTTATCTTTAATTGTGGCTTATTCCCAGCTAAATAGTAATTAATTTAAAATGCCACAAGAAAATAGCTTCAGAACAATACGTTATTGGAGTATAAAACATATATTAACCCTAAGCATACATATTAAGCTTAAGTGTGTGTTTATTATTTATTTCTACCCACCTAGCAAGCTCTATTCTATTTATTTTTCTTCGTAAAGACCATTATTTCAATCTTGATTGTGTTCATTTGTAGTATGAGATCGAGATAACAATTTTAAACGGATGTCAACAGCATTTTACATCGGTTCACAAAAAGTTACTTCTCAAGCCATAACCTCTTTAAATATCGTTACAGTCGTAACCTAGACCAATTAGTGGTCTAACTAAGCCATCCATTACTAGCGAGCAAAGGAGACATTATCCTACCGTAAACAACATCTGTCCGCAACTGCCCCAGTTTCAAGCCTGGATCTTATCACTCTGGATAATTTAATGTATTTCGCTTTGATATTCACACATAATTCCTTAGTACAGTCCACCCAAAACAATTTTTTACTTCCTTCTTTTAAAATGTTTCCATTTTTACATTGTGGGTATTTGATTAGCCTTACAATTTCTCTCAAACATCAAGCATGTAGTATTTAAAAATCATTAATAATTTTTTATTGCATTGTCATTTATTGTTAGAATTCCGAGTAACGGAAGACTTTTTAAAAATATGTACTTTTTTTAAACAATTTTACCAATAAAATATGTTTATTTAAGGGCCTCAGTTCCGGAAGCAGGAGAAGAAAAGGTCGAAGGACCTCTAAAGCAGTACCATGTAGATAAGACATTCGCCGACAGAAGATACAAAGTACAGTCAGCGAGGACATACTTCTACCTCAATGAAGCCCAGTGCGAAAAGAACACGGAAACATTTATTAAATGCTTGGAAACCATAGCAGGTAATGCAAAGTTTAGTTTGTTACGGATATGCAATGAAGCGAACTTTAAAAACATAAATATTTTAATAGTAATTTGTTATCCAAAAAAGTCTCGTCTATGCAACGTAATTTTGGGATGAAAATGTTCAGTGATATAATGTTTCTTGTAATTTGTCAAAAAATATTTAAATATATACATAGAAAAATGATAACTTAAAAATTACCTTTTGTATCACAAATCCAAGTCATTGTAGAAAAAAATCGTAAACAATTTGAAACAAGGTTATTAGTCCATGTTTCTGATTCGGTTTCCTTGCTGACTCTTTAAATACTTTGTTTAAACACATCTGAAGGGTAGCGGGCGAAATTTTTGGCCATAAATTATTTAAACAATTTTTTACACAAATTCCAAAAATCCCTTTTTGCTCAGGAAAATAGAATATTACTTTATGAGGCGGAGAAGCATGACTTTTCTTGACGCACCCGATTACGCGCCGAACGAAGTGAGGCGCGTAATAGAGGGCAAGTCAAGAAAAGTCGCTTCTTTGCCGAATAAAGTATACGATTTTTTCTTCAAACGTAGCAATTTTCAACCATAAATAGTACAATTCATACGCTATTTTTACTCTAAATTAACTGTGACAACTATCAAAGTCGTCTAGATGTTAGAAATTAAAATAATTAAGTCGTCGGTGGGATTTGCGTCTCCCTGGTTACAGTTGTTTGCAATTATTAAAGACAGCTTATTGTTGTTGCAACCGCAAGCGCAAATTTAGTGCGAAAATGGAAAACCTAAGCGAAATTGAGTCCGCGGCTAATGATGCAGTAGCACGTTTGGGGCCCTCCAAGTCCGGAATAAAGTATCAGTTAGCGTACAAGCACTTCCAAGAGTGGTGCGATACAAGAGGAGTACGGCAAGTTACCGAAGACGTTTTACTGGCATATTTTAATATAATGGAAAATGAAAATAAATGGAAATCTTCTACAATGTGGTCACGATACTCTATGATAAAATCCGAGTTAGTTATTAAAAAAAATGTGAATATAAGCAAATTCGTGCCTTTCGTGCCTTTCTGAAAAAAAAAAACAAGCGAAGGATATACTGCAAAGAAGTCTAAAGTTTTCACTAAAGACGAGTTTGATAAATTTTAGTTTGAAGCGCCAGATAAGTTGTATTTAGGATTAAAGGTAAAAAAAATATATTGCAAAGCATGTACTCTACTAAATTATAAAAATATTTCAGATTGTTTTGTTAATTGGGGTTACCGGCGCCTGTCGATGCGATGAAATGGTAAAAATGAAGACTGTGGACATTAAGGATAAAGAAAATGTAATAATTATCAAAATCCCACACAGTAAAACATGACAAATTGGATCTTTTACGATAATTGGTCAATACTACATTAAACTGTATAAAAAGTATGCATCAGTGCGGCGTGAAAATTTCACAGAAAACCGATTTTTTATCAAGTACCAAAATGGAAAGTGTTACCGAAGCGTCATGGGAATACATTCGATCAGCGCAGTGGCCCAAAAAGTAGCTAGTTATTTAAATTTAAACGATGCAAGCGCATACACGGGTCACTCTTTACGACGAACTTCAGCAACACTTTTAATTGATGGAAGCGGAAATCTAGAATGCCTCAAACGACATGGGGGCTGGAAATCAAGCACGGTTGTCGAAGGATATATAGAGGATTCAATAAGAAATAAGAACGATAATGCTCAAAAAATTTTAAACCCTCATGATTCGCCAACATCGGGAATGATTGCTGAAAGTTGTTCTCGACCATCAGTACCACCAACAATTTCCAATGCGTATCAAGAGTCGGGAACATTTTTGCACGGTTTCAATTTTGAAAATGCCTCATTAACTAATTGTACTTTTAATATTAATATAAATAAAAATGATGTTTAATTGTTGTTAATGGCATTTGTATTGTTGCTTTGTGACATGTTTCATATTGTTGCCATGACAACATTTTTCCCTCCGCCGTAAAGAAATGGGAAAAAAACTGCTGCCGGCGGAAACATCAAACTTTGACAGGATCAAGTTAGATAAGTAATGTCATCATTATTTGACGTTTGAAGAAAAAATATTTTTTAGGTTTTTTGTGGTATTTTAATCTTGTCTTTTTTCAAAGTTCACAGTTTTCGAGTTTAAGCAATTTAAAATCTGCAAAATGCGAAAATACGCATTTTGAAACTTAAAAACTCACATGTAAATTATTACTCTGACTCTGTGCTTCTTGTTGCCATTTCTTGGATATTCATTTAATGTCGTTCATCCAGCGTGTTATTGGTCATCCTCTGGTGCCTTTGTCTTCTATTGGGCGCCAGTCAATTAGTTTTCTGGTCCATCTTGAGTCTTTTAGTTTCGCTATGTGACCTGCCCAATTCCATTTTAGCTTGGCTATACGTTCGACGACATCAGTGATACCTGTTCATTTCCTTATGTCTTGGTTCCTTATTTTGCCTTTTTTTGTCACACCGAGAATCGGTTTTCCATGCGCCTTTATGCCACTCGCATTTTTAGTGTTATTGTTTTTGTAAGAGTTTGTGCTTCGTATGTCATAAGAAGAAGAACGCATTGGTCAAATGTCTTCTGTTTCATAGCTATCGGGATATTGCTCTTAAAGATGTCTCTTAGTGAACCATACGCCGCCCAAGCAAGTGTTATTCGTCGTTGAAATTCACAGGTCTGACTATCCTTACTTATTCTGATTTCATGACCGAGATATATGTACTTTTCTCCCAATTCTATCACTTAATTTTGGATGGTTAGGTGTTTGCTGGGAACCAAATTTGTCATAAATTTGGTCTTACTGATGTTCATTTTTAGACCTATTATTGAAGATACGTTTTCTAATTCTTGTAGCATTTGTTGTGCTTCACGCAGATCTTCGGTAATAAGTACTATATCGTCGACAAACCGCAAATGATTGAGAATTTCCCCGTCTATTTTTATTCCTGGTTTCCTTCTTTAGCCTTTTTAAAGGCGTATTTGAGGACCGTTATAAATAATTTAGGTGAGAGAGTGTCGCCTTGTGTCATACCTCGCTTTATATGAATTTCTCTGGTGAAACCAGATAGTTTTGTGGCGTTTTGGTACAATGTTTGTACTAACTTTGTAAGCCGGTAGTCTATTCTACGATTGTTTAGAGCAGTTATAATGCTGTCTAACGATAATTTAAGTTTTGGCAAATTTAACTTAAAGAGATTTTTTACAAGAAAAACTAAATTTTACTTATGTGTAAAGATATTCTCTTAAAAACCACAATAATCTCGTAACCTGTTACAGGAAGAGTTGTTTTAAAACTATTAAATTTGCTGCAAGTTTATGATATCTCGATGTGTTCCTGAATTATGGAAGTACAACAAAATTACGCATAGAGATCTTTGTTAAAGGCTATTATTACCGCTTCAAGGAATGGAATCCTTATTTCAGTGGACGTGGTTCGTGAGTTGTTTTCACTTCTGGAGATGTTTCGTTAAGGCTGAGGTGTGGCATTGAAAGGGTAAGGTTAGATGACCAATTCACATTTAGTGGAACGGTCTTTTCAGAATCGTTGGGCTGCCATTTAACCTACATGTGAACGATAACTATGACTATCACCTTATAATCACCTTATATCACTAATAGATAGGTATTATTGTGCAATGAGATTGAGAAACCTTTCCTTCAGGAAACATATAACACATTTAAATAAGTGAGATTTATGTAGGGAAGTAACTTCTGAACATTTTGAAGCTTACTTATGCTTAATTAAAACATTTTTGTGTATTCCTGGAGACAGTCGAAATATCATAAACTGTTCTTCGTTCTCAAAATAAAACCCATTAGCAGAGGATGGGCCGATGTGATATTCCCACTACTTCAACTATGACGTCACAAGCCGTCTTGCATTTCATGTCAGCGTCTATAATATCTCCTTTACATGCAGCCATTGCTGCTGCTACTCGCGTTGACCACTGTCCTGCCCGAAATAATTCCACTGCAGCGTTTAAGGCAAATGACGGTTTACATACTGCTAGCGCAGTGCTGCATCAGTGTACCGCCAGTAATGGAGGGCATAGAAAGTACTGCGGTGATAGCTCTGTGTGTTTTAAGTTTACAAAATTATCTTAACATTTTAAAAACAAATGAGATAGAAAAAGACTTCGAAAAAAACAATGATGGATGTCACGATTCATCGCAACAAAACGGTGTAAATCTTTTATTTGAATAACAGTCTGTAAATGGCTTCAAACATCTTTTACAGAGGAAATATAACAAACTTTTTCAATGATCTCACTTGTGAGGAATCCGACACATATCTCTCACTAGCATATAGCTCTAAAAACTTCAGTACTTACTCATTGCTCCACTCAACCATAGTTAACGAAAAATTTACCAAACATTAAACAAAAAGTCCATGCATCGACTAGACAGCGAGCACCATGTAGAGATAGTGCAAGCACTCCTGACCACGGCGCAGTAGACGAAATTTAGTGGTTTAGTCCCCACTTTCATGCTAAATGCATTGTACTGTGCCAAGGTCAATGGAGGAGTAGGTTGCCTGGTATTTCTAAACCAATCAGATACAAGCATTACACTGGCGCGAATACGTCATCAGATTGCCATGCAAGAATTGTGAGATAATTTGGAAACTTAACTTTTTAGTAAAATAATGGTATAATAAATGTATTATATAGAGATACCTTGTGTTTCAATTAAATATTTTGTTCGATGACTTGATAGTTTTTCTTTGTGTTCAATGAAACTACATAGTTTTAATATTTAAATGTAAAATTTTGGGTTATAGATATATTAATGGTAATAAAACAGACTCATCCTATATTTTTTAATTCATTTAGTATACGGACATTACAAAACTTCGCACTTAATTGTTCAATTTAATAGTGTGCTATATGTAATTGTATGAATATTATTTCATTTTTATGCACTCCTCTTTAACCACTGGTGTTTCTTGGAGAGTTTATAAGTAGTAAACAAACTGTATTTAATATAATTGACTACA